CTCTAGGCTGGGGAGCGGCTCTCTGCGCTTGTTGATATCCTCCACAACTAGACAGAGACAAAGCCCACAGTGATCAAGAAAACCAGAAGCAATCTGGCCAGACCCTCAGACTAGCACAGACAACAGTCCACAAAGAGCCCTTGCCACTTCCTTAAGCACTGTGTACCTTGGAGATGAAGCCCATTGCTCCATTTTGCCAGAGATGTCAGAAACCCTGAAATCCTACCACGGAAGACCCTTCCCACCCAGTTTACATTCTTTGATGAGTTCTGAGAAGACAGGCTGCATTCTATCAAGGACTAAGGACTGATCCCCTAGAATTCCTTTCCAATTCCATGAGTTTATCTGTCAACACCATTTTGAGCAGGAGCTCGGTGGTGTAGAGCACTTGCCAAGCACGAATGTGGTCCAGGGTTCACCCCCCAACCCCCAGCACTGCGCACCAAGCCACCAAGCCAATGCTTTCCTGTGCACTCCTAATCAGGCATTGCAAATACATCTCCCATGTGACCGAACTCCCAACAGTCCCTGGGTGAAGCACAGCCTGGGGCTTTGGTTTGTTCATTTTCTTATAGACATGGGGCAGGTAATGTAGACCAGGCTGGCCTTGAAGGCAGAGATCCTCCTGCCTCTGCCTCCTAAGTGCTGAGATTATAGATGTGAGCCACCACACCAGGCTGGCCCACATGATTGCACAGCCAGCACCTTGCTGACTGAGCCATCTCTTCAGCTATTTTTCTTCTGTTGCTTATGTTCATCAGATTCAGTAATGCAACTGTGAGCAGTAAGAGGCTGCCTGCTTGCACTGCTGTAAGGTATGCTGTAGTATAACTACTGTACAATTTATTTAACCATTCTACCTCTTTCTTTCTTTCTTTCTTTCTTTCTTTCTTTCTTTCTTTCTTCCTTCCTTCCTTCCTTCCTTCCTTCCTTTCCTTTCCTTTCCTTTTCTTTTTTTTTTTTATACAGAATCTCACTCACAGCCCAGACTGGACCCAAAACTCACTACATAGCCCAGGTTATTCTTGAATAATGGTGATCCTCTAGACTCTGAGTGTTGAGATTACAGGCATGTACTACCACATCCAACTACCCAGTCTCTTCTTATTTGTCCCTATTGTTTTATACTTGTCTATTGATTGAGCTAGTGTGTGTGCACGTGCACGAATGCATGCACATGAAGGCAGAGGAAAACTATAGAAGTTGGTTCTCTCCATGTGGGTACCAGGAATCAAACACACTATCAGACTTGGTGTCAAATGTCCTTACCCACCAACCTGATTTACAAGCCCAGTCTTGATGGGTGCTTTGGCTGTTTTCATTCAGGCCTCTTGTGAGCAACAGTCTGAACACATCTGTGCATGTTTGCTGGGCACATGCCTGAGCTGGTTCAGAATACACATGTAACTCTGAGCCTGCTTCGTCACAAGGCACACATAGCTTAAACTTTGACACATATTGCCAAGTGCTTTGTAGAGCAGCTGCACAGACTGACATACCATCAAACTGGGGATTGCATTTTTCTACCGCTTCCCTGACCTTACTGACCCTCATCTGGGACACCCAGGTGTCTCATGCCCCTCATCAGTATGAAGGTGAGTACTTCACACCTATGTATCTGCTTTTTGGGTCTCTTCCTTCATTCAATATTTATTTTTTCCTATTGGGTAGAGTGCCATCTTGCCTTAAAAAATATTTTTGAATTATGTACATAGGTGTGTGTCTGTGTATGGGTTTATGCACATGAATGCAGTACCCATGAAGGCCAGCAGAGGGTACCAGATTCCTAGGTGACCCACCTAATATGGGGGCTGTGAACTGAACCTGGATCCTCTGAAAGAGCAGTATACACTCTTAACCACTGAGCCATCTCTCTAGCCTATCTTTTTTTCTCCATCTGGCCCTTCATTCCATCTGGCACTGTGAGGGCTCCAGTCAGAAACAGGGATCTTCAGGCATCACAGGGGCTTACAGTCTTACCACACAGGTTGCTGGAAGCATCTAAATTCACAGGACAGTAATGAATAGGGAGGGTACAGCATGCTGCAAGGGAAGCGGAGAGTGCTGTGCTCACTTGTGATTCCCTCGGTCATGATGTCTGTCATCTTGCAGCAGGAGGACAGCATCCTCATGCTTAACTGGTCCACCACCAGCACCTGGAAGGAAGAGAACCGCTCAGGGCTGCACAGCTCCTGCCCTCACTCTCTCACTGCTTCCTGCATGGGGCTTCAAAAGGACTATGTGGAAAGTAGAAATGTATGAGACGCTGTTCCCTATGGCTTGGAAGGTTCGCTGGGACACATACTTGCTTTTAGTTCTCAGCCTCAGCCTCTCTCACTGACTTGACTTCAGAAGCTTTACAAATGTTCATAAGCATATACACAAAATTAAAAAGAGGAGGGAATCATGGAGGGCTCCAACACTCAGAGGCAGTCATCACAGCTGTGGTGTTTTCAGGTGGTAACTTGCTCTCATGGGAGACTGTCAGTGTCGGCTCTGTGCAGCTACCATCAGGGCTCCTAGCTTCATCAGCACACATCTCTGTCCAGACTACAAGCACAAGAATGTTCCACCCCTGCCGTGCTCACCTCATCTTTCCTTTCACCCCACAGTAGAGAGAAACAGCCACCAGTGAGAACAGGCCTATAAAGCAGGAAGAGGCCATGAGCTAAGCCTGAGCAGCACAGCTGGTCCTGATCCAGAAGCTTCTGTTTCCCCGAGGGTGGGAGTGTGGGGGGGTGGCCCACACCTTTAATCCCAGGACTCAGGAGGCAGAGGCAGGTAGATCTCTGTGAGTTGGAGGCCAGCCTGGTTTACAAAGCAAGTTCCAGGACAACCAGCGCTACACAGAGAAACCCTGCCTCAAAAAACCAAAAAAAGAAAAAAGAGGAAAAAAAAAAAAAAAAAAAAAGAAAAAAAAAAAAAAAAAAGAAAGAAAAAAAGCTTCTGCTGCCGAACAGCAGCCCCTTAGCCTCACCTGATGAGGAAATTCCTGTGTCTGCAAGCCTTGACTGATGGGAAGAGTGAGAGAGGCATGCCTAAGCAGATGGCCTCCCCTCTAGAACTGTGGGAACCAAAACAGAACCCCTCAGGGCCAGGACGGGGCTTCAAAATCCTCCTTTGTCAATGAGCTCCCAGGCCCAGTGAGCTTGAGAATGTGTGGCCTCTTGGCTCCAGGGAAACTTGAGGTTCCAAATGGACAGTGTAGACCCTTCACCGGCATGTGAGGAAGTTCCAGAAGAGTCCCTCCAGCTCCTGGCCAGTGTGATACCCATCTCAGAAAACCTCTATCTGCTGAGCCCACTCACTGGTTCCATGACCAGGAAGAGACTCTGTGCCAAGATCATACAGGAAGCATGCTCGGCCCTGGCTCTCACTCCTGTCAACTCCCCTCCAGCTCTGCCCTCTGTGTGTAGGCGGGGAGTGTGTTTGCATGTATTGTTCATGTGTGTATGAAGGCATGCACATGCTGATGTCAGGCGTCCTCTCCAATAGCTCTCCACTTTCTTTTCTGAAGCAAGTGCTCTAGTGAGCCCAGGACTCACCCATTCGACAGACTCTTCACTCACCTTCCACTCCCCCTTCTTCTTAACTTTCTTGATGACATCATGCATGATCTCTAAAAAAGGAGGAGGGGAAGAAAGAGCCAAGGGGAGAAGAAGGCAGGCAGGAGGGAAGGGAGAAGGAGAGGGAGGGAGGGAGGGAGAGAGGAAGGGAGATAATATTACTGAAATTTCACAGACTTCCACACCTGCCTATTAGACTAGGGCGTCTCCCACAGACCTTGCTCTCTTCAGTTATGCAGTTTGGTCTGTGGACAGAGCCACCATCACCCACCACAGAGGCAGTTCTTTTCCTGTCTCTGTAACTCACTAACTCACAGACATTTTAATCTCAGGTCTTCTTTATGCTTTTCAAAACAAAAGACCCCAGAGATTATCTACATGGATAAACATCTTCTGGCATTAAGAACAAAACTGAGTAGGGTGGTGGGCGGTGCACACCTTTAATCCCAGCATGGGGGAGGGCAGAGGCAGGCAGATCTCTATGAGTTCAAGACCAGCCTGGTCTACAAGAGCTAGTTCCAGGACAGCCTCCAAAGCCACAGAGAAACCCTGTCTCAAAAAAACAAACAAACAAACAAACAACAACAAAACTGAGCCAGGTACGAGCATACACCTGTAATCCCAGCTCGTGGGGGGCTGAGATGGGTGAGGTCTGAATTTGAGGCCATCCTAAGACAATCAGGTAGCACAATGTTGATAGAGTTGTTCAAAAAAAACAAAAGTAAACTGAAAAAAATTAACAGATTCACTTAAAATAATAATAAACCACTATATGTTAACATGAGTACTATTTTAATGAATGAACAATAACTATTTTTCTCAGTAAAAAAAATCTTAGGGAAAATGCTGGGGTTTTACATCTTTGTGGCTCTCATTAATGTCTGGCTTCACAGAGGACAGCTGTGTGTCCCTTCTGCTTCCGAAGCCAATCTGTCTTGAATCAGGTGACATCTGGAAAGGGCTCAGAAGAGCATGAAAAGGAGGGCAATGACCTCGCAGCCTTCCTATGGAGACAGCTGTGACCTGAGTCCTCCCAAGGATATTAGACTTGAGAAGCACTGCTCTAAGTAAATAAAAGACTCTGACCAGGTCTCTGGCCCTAGAGTCCCCTTCACACTCTCCAGTCAGCAGGGGCTTGAGGTCTTCCACACTGTAAGCTCATCTGTGCTATGCTCTCATCGCTGTTGTCATGTCATGTTGATAGGCCAAACAGGAGTGGCCACAGAAGCAGTATAGGAAAATAGGATGTTTGCTGCTCTGAAAGCCCAGGCCACACACCACCCTGGAATGACTATAAGGCTCATGGCAGACATCAGTGTTTCACGAATTCAGGTCCTTGCCCATCCTTCTAAGACATAGGTGGACTCTGCCTCTGATCATCTTCTGTAATCCAACCTGTCATAAAGTGTTCTCAAGTTTTCAGGAACTTTTCTTCTGATGATTAAAAACAAAAATAGCACATTGTGGTAGGTGGGACATGCCCGGAACCTAAACAGTTAGGAAGATGCTGAAGGTGAAGCCAATCTGGCTGGTGAGTTCAAGACCAGCCTGCCTCAAAATAACCAAGGGATAGCCAAGCAGTGGTGGCACACGCCTTTGATCCTGGCATTCGGGAGGCAGAGGCAGGCGGAGCTCTGTGAGTTTGAGACCATCCTGGTCTACAGAGGGAGTTCCAGGACAGGTTCCAAAGCTACAGAGAAACCTTGTCTCAGAAAAAAGGAAAGAAAGGAGGGAGGGAGGGAAGGAAGGAAGGAAGGAAGGAAGGAAGGAAGGAAGGAAGGAAAGAAGGAAAGAAGGAAAGAAGGAAAGAAGGAAAAGAAAGAAGAGGGCCTGCAAAGATAGCTTGGCAGTGAGGGGCACTTGCTGCTCCCAACACTCACAAAGGGCAGCTCACAACCTCCAGTAACTCCAGCTGCAGCAGATCCAATGCCTTCTTCTGGGCACCTCAGGCACCTACATACACATGGCACACACACACACACACACACACACACACACACACACACATGCATGTGCACACAAATAAAAATAAAATACCAATAGAGAGAGAGAAATGAGGTAAGACTGGATAAAATCCATAACTACAGAGCTTGGCTTTCATGACACAAGAATTGAGTCAGACTAGTGGGAGAGAGGATAGTTAACAGATAACCTTGGAAGAGTTGCTAAAAGGTAGTAGAAAACAAATTAACAGGACAGATGTGAGAAAGCAAAGACGAGTTTTGTTTTTCTGAAAGATGTGATAGAGCAGAACATTTGGTGTTGGCAAAAATAAACAAAAGAAAATCCAAGAGAAAAGATGGGTTATAGGAAGACTGCCTCCCCCTTCTGGGGAGGAGGGGGATGGAGCTGAGTCATGAGCACCTCACCCGACAGTGTGAGGAGTATTGGGGGTGAAGTATGGGAGGAGGGACAGTGAATGGTGTTAGTGGAAGATTTGAAAAAAGAAGAAACCATACATCTCCCCAGAGACCAGGGAAGTCAATTACTAAATTTTAGCATTTCTGGACAGTTCTAAAAGCTAATTGAGGTTTGTGACCACAATTTAAGTGAAACCAGGAAGCCTGGGTAGATTTTAGTTTATGAGACTCACTATGTAGTGCAGGTTGACCTTAAGGTTGCAATGTCACTGACCCCGCCTCCTGAGTGCTGAGGTTATAGGGGCTCCACTATATCTGGATTTCCCTCCATCTTTATGGGGTCCTAGGGATGAAATTCAGGTCGGGCCGCTCAGCCACCTCGCCAGCCCTACAGCTGCCCCACCTAATCTATTTATTTATTTGAGGGGTTCAAGACAGGGTTTCACTGTAGCTTTGGAGCCTGTCCTGGAACTCCCTCTGTAGACCAGATTGGCCTGGAACTCACAGAGATCTGCCTATCTCTGCCTCGAGTGCTGGGATTAAAGGCATGCGCCACCACCGCCAGCTCCCCCCAATTTATTTTTTATTCACAAAGCCATATCTAGGGCACTAGAGTCCTACCTATTTCATTGAAGGCTGGCATGTCAATCAATTGTCCAAATGCAAACACAACTGTTTTTTGTTGGTGGTTTCTGATCCTGAAGTTATTCCCCTGTGCCTTAGCTCCTTGCCTTCTACCTGAGAATGACTGAGCTCCTGTGAGACCCTTGAGCTTTTAAATTTCTTAATTAATTTATTTATTTTGGTTTTTCCAGTCAGAGTTTCTCTGTATAGCCCTGGCTGTCCTGAAACTCACTCTGTAGGCCAGGTTGGCCTTGAATTTACAGAGATCTGCCTGACTCTGCCTCCCAAGTGCTGGGATTAAAGGTATATGCTACCACCACCCAGCACAACAACAAAGCAAACAGAAAGCTGCTCTGGACCCAGTGCATAGAGCACTCCCATCACACTGCTCTGGACCCAGTGCATGGAGCACTCCCATCACACTGCTCTGGACCCAGTGCATAGAGCACTCCCATTACACTGCTCTGGACCCAGTGCATGGAGCACTCCCATTACACTGCTCTGGACATAGTGCATGGAGCACTCCCATTACACTGCCCTGAAGTCGTCTGTTGGGAGAAATGGGGGCACGTAAAGTACAGGTGTCCTGAGCTTTTGTTAAAGTCAGCTGAATTCTTCCAAACGCAGAACAACCTCAGCTCACTGCATGACTCCCCCACCACAGGACCCCATCTCACTGCTCCAGCAGAAAGGCAGCTTCCCTGTGGCTGCGTTGGTGCTGGGACGCAGTGTGCTCTGCCACTGAGCTACACAGCCCGGCTCCCTCTGCTTTATCTGAACTTAAATGACTCAGGCTGGATATAGACCAAAAATTAACTTAAATGAAGTGAAAAACATTGCTCTAGCAACGTTTTGATCTGGGAAGGTGGAGATACAATAAGGAAAAAATGAAACCAAGTACAGATGTCCAGAGGCATAACCAACTGGAGTGACTGCAGCTTACTTCCCCCACACTCTCAGAGCATGTATCTGTCCTGGGTATTATTAACAGCCAATCCCAGCCCTGCCCTACATTCTTTAATCCAGTACCAAAAAGGAAACATGGATTAGAGCCCATTTTAGCCTGGGTTATTTTCTAGAATATAATCCTATCTCATTGCATCTACTTTGCAGATCTCCTCTATACAGAGAGAGACCAAGAGCCATCTAGAGCTGGTCAAGTACTCAACCAAAATGTCATTTCCACCATCCACCTCTGGCCACACAAGCAGGAAGACCTGAGTTTAAACCTCAGCACCCACATACAAAGCTGGGCATAGTGGCATGTATTTGTAACCCAAGAGCTGGAAAGACAGACAGGAGGATCCCTGGGGCTTGCTTAGGTGAGCCCCGAGTCCTGGTCAGAGACCATCTCAGAAAGATAGTCAGCTCCAGAGAGACAGCATCCAACGCTGTCCTCTGATGTCTACATGTACCCACACACGCCTTCAAGCACACACACAGGCACACTCTTTAATGAGAGACACGTGTACCTGCACACACTTTAATGAACTGGAGTGTGGTTGGGGCTGGCCATGAAAGCAGGTGAAAGTTGCAAAGATCAAGGATAGAAAAGTGAAGAGACAGAAATAGGACCAACCAATGAAAGCCATGGAGCTCTGGAAGGATGACACAGGCTCAGGGTGTCTCGAGAGTCAGCTCAGGCTTCCGTCCTGGCCTTTATGGTAGCAGAACTTGATGAGGACTCTTAGAGGCCCTGGTCACCTTCAAACATGGCAGCTCCCTTCCTGTCCTGCATCCTTATTCCCATCCCATCTCTGACACCTAGTGTGATATGACGATTTGGCAAAATGCCCACACAAAACCTTCTGGCATAGATGAGTAGAGTTCTGTGAGTTGCAGTGGGCCTCATAGCTGAAGGAGGTGGCTCGGCCCAGGGGTTCTCCACTCCCAAACGACCCCAGTGTTCAGAAGACCCACTTCAAAGCCTTTAGCTTGAACACAGGCCTCAGAGGTCTTCCCAGAGGGCTTGTTGGGGAGATGTCTTCATTCTTGAAGGATAGTACAGGTGAACAGTGGCTGTCCTATAGTCCAAGTCTGCAAACCAGATGGATGAGAAAAACTCTTCC